GGGCCTGTTCTATGTAAGGTGGTTGTTACAACATTAGTGTGTGCAGCCGAGTGCTTTTATCCCCCTCACAATCACCTATGTATGGGACAGGTTTTGAAGTTTTTCAACGTGGAATTTATATTTGGCTCTACTTGGCTATTTTGAGATGGTCTGTTGTTTTCAGCAGGCATAGATCTATGGATAATATCTAACATTATGTTATTGTTTTAAGCTGAAACAGTGACTTTTCCTCCATTTGTAAGTTGTTTTAATGTCCTAATTGAACATATTGAAAACAGTAAACTTGGTTGGAATTAGACTACGTTTCTCACTACTCCAAGATAGGCCGTGAACTCTAAAGGAAAATGTTCATAAACTTGTCATAAAAGGTTACTCGGGGTGTGATGTGACTTGTGACTTACCTCCACTCTTAATGAGGATATCAAAGAGGTCGTCCATCTGCTGGCTGTGTGCATTGGAAATCTACAACAAAGGAGAATAGAGATTAGCCTTCTTTCCTACAGGCGCGGAAGGATTATCTAATTGGGAGCTCTGAGCAACCTTACAGAACATTTAGTTCTACTCTATCATTTGCTAATTTTGAGAACACTGAGGTCACCAGAGACATTAAGCCATTTACCCAGTGTGTCACAGCTGATGAGCTGACAGAGCAAGAATGGGGCCGATAACCTAGATCAGCTGACCTGTACATTTCCCTTACTTTTTAACACTGCATTTTGAGAGGCTGCTAATACTTGCTTTTAAAAATACTTTATTCATTTGCATTTAGGTAAAAATGTAAGGTATGTATAAAGGTGATCATACTATATTTTTTCAGCTTTCCTGAGAGTTAGCTGACCTCCAATCAACTACACTTATATAGAGTGCACAGTCTGTTAAGCTTTGACGTCTATATATACCCATAATACTGTCAACAAAATCAAGGTAGCAAACCAACCCATTGCCCTGCAAGTTTCCTCACTGGCCTTTTGTCATAGTTCTCTCATCTCCAGACAACCCAGTGATGGCCTTTTATGATAGAGGAGTTTACTTTACATTTCCTCGAGTTTTATAGCAATGAATCCACATAGTATGTGTACTTTTGGTAGTGGAGGAGGCTTCTTTCATTTAACATAGTAATTCTGAGATTTATCCATGTTGGAGAGGACACCTTAGGAATATTTTTATTGCTCAGGAGGTTTGTTTTGGTTGTTTCCATTTTTTGGCTGTTAGAAAGCAAGCTGCTGTGGACATTTGTGTACAAATCTCTGTACTGGGTAAATATCAAGGAGGGGCATGCTGGAATCAGAGGGTAGCTATTAAGAAATGGCTGTTTTGCAAAGTGATCATCTTTTCCCATTTCCACCAGCAGTGTGTGGTATTTCCAGTCGCTGCACGTTCTCGTCGACACTTGGTACGGTCAGTCACTGCAATTGTAGGCATCTGCCAAGTGCATCGTAGTGGCATTGCACTGGGGTTTCAATGTGCATTTTCCTAATGACTCATAATGTTGAACATCTTTTCATGTGCTTGTTTGCCATCTGTGTATCTTTTTTTTGCTGAAATGGCTGTTCTAATCATTTGCCTACTCCAGACTTAGGGGTACTGTTTACATGCTGTATCATTTTCCAATTACTTACTTTCAACATGTGTCTTTGTATTTAAAGAATGTTTCTTCAAACCAAGAAACAGACTCTTAGCTAGAGAGAACAAACTGATGATCACCAGAAGAGGGGGTGGGTGGGTGATGGCTGAAATAGGCGATGGGGATGAAGGAATGCACTTGTTGTGATGAGCACAGGGTGATGCATGAAAGTGCTGAATCACTATGTTGTGCATCTGAAACTAATACTACATTGCATGTTAACTGGAATTTAAATAAAAACTTAAAAAATAAAAATTTGTATCACCTAGGGGCGCCTGGGTGGCTCAGTCAGTTAAGCATCTGCCTTCAGCTCAGGTCGTGATCTCAGGGTCCTAGGATCGAGCCCCGCATCAGGCTCCCTGCTCAGAGGGGAGCCTGCTTCTCCCTCTCCCTCTGTGATTGCTTTTGCACTCTCTCAAATAAACAAATAAAATCTTTAAAAATTTATATCAGTGAAAAAAAAAGTATGCCTCTTATAGGTGCATGCATTAGTTCTCTATTGTATTACACGTTAACAAGTTTAGTGGCTTAAGAGTTATTTTCTCACAATTTCTGTGGGTCAGGAATTTAGCAATAGTTTAGATAGGTAGTTCTGGCTTGGGGTCTTTCATGGGAATGTAGACAAGATGTTGACCAGGCTATAGCCATCCATCTTCAGGCTTCGCTGGAGAATGTCCTTATAGAGACGGCTCATTACATGACTGGCCAGTTGGTCCTGGTTATTGATGGGAGGCCTCAGTTTCCCTTCACATGGGCCTCTCCAGAGTGCTGCAGGATGGTCCACGTGGTATGACAGCTGCCCTTCTCCAGAGCCAGCATCCAAGAGAGAGCAAGGTAGGAGGGGCATGCCGTTTATGAACTAGTATCAGAAGTCCAACACCATCACTTCTGCCCATGCTATTATAAGCGAGCCACTCAGTCCAGCTCAGGGAGGAACTGCAGACATCTTAAAATATAGTTGAATCTGTTTTTAGTCATTTTGATAATTTCTGCATTTTAATTGTATTGTTTTCTCCACTAGCATGTCTTGTGCAATCAGTGATAGGATTAAGTTTGGGTTTACCATTTTGCTTTGATTTGCCCTGTTGTTCCTCCTAAGGTTCTTGTCCTTTAAGCAAGCAAGCAAGTAAGTAAATAAATATATATTCATTTGATTTATTTTTGGAATTCTAACTTAATCTATTTTATAAAAGCTGTACTACTTTAGTTATTGTAGGCATACAGTATACATCCTTAATTTTTTGTAGGTTATTTCATGTACCATTGTGTATAAAATATAAAACCCCTGTAAACATAAAGATCTACTTCCTCCATCTTTTATTAGGTATTTTATTTTTTACAGTGTAGGTTTCTGGTGATGAATTCTTATTTTTTCTTTATCTGAAAATATCTTTAGTTCACTTTCATTCTTAAAGGACATTTTTACTTGATAGAGAATGCTGGTGTGACAGTCTCTTCCTCTCTACTAAGAATTTTAAAGACATTGTTCTGCTGTTTTCTGACTTCAGTAGTTCCTGATGAAAAGTCAATCATAAAACAATCATAAAACAAATTGTTGTGTGCATTGTGTTGCTTTTCTCTTGATGCTTTCAAGATCGGCTCTTTAATTTTTGGCTTTCAATAATTTGACTGACTAGGCCTTCTGTTTCTCCTGCTTGGTGTTCATTGAGCAACTCAAAGTTATAAACTTGTCTTTCATCACATTTATGAAAAATCTGACCATTATTTATTTCTTAGAATATTTTACCTGCCTCATTCTCTTCTCAGAGTCCTATTATAACCATCCTAGACTATTCGATATTAAATAACATGTCTCTGAGGTTCTGTTCTCCTTAAAAAAAATCTTTTGTTATTCACAGTGGATAAATTCTGTTGATTTACAAGTTCGCTAACTTTTTACCTTTTACCTACTACCTTTTTCACTGTCCTTTCCATTCTGTGAAGACCATCTATAATTTTTTTTCATTTTAGAGATTTTTGTTTTATTAATTTCATTAAAAAATCATTTCTCATTTCCATATTTGCTATTTTTCATTCATTATGAATCTATTTCCCTTTACATCATTGATAGTTATAATAGTTGTTTTAAAATCCTTATGTGCAAGTTCTAACATCTGGATTAGCTGGAGTTGGTCTTGGTTGATTGCCTTTTGTCCTTGAGATAGGGTTGCATTTTCTTCCTTATTTGCACACTGCATGTTATGAATGGCTGTTATGGACATCAAATTGTGAAGCCTCTGTATTCTGTTGTTTTTCTCAGATGAGTGGTTTCTTTTGTTTTAGCAGGCAATTAACTTGGTTGGACTTGACCTTCAAAATGTTTTTTTGGGCACAAGTTCCAATCACAGCTCACATCTTTTATCTGTAGCTCAGCTTCTATGACCACTCAATGCCTATGTGGCTTAGGGGTTAGCTGGAGATGTGGACAGACAGGATTTGGGGATCTCCCCTCTAGTTCTTTCCCTTTTTGGGTTGCTCTCAACTAGGCTGACTTCCCGGGGCGTAAAGGCTATGGTTTTTCTACCAGTAGCCTTACCACTTAGCTTGACCCCCGAGTAAAAGCAGCATAAAGAGGGAACTCATGCTATCTTTTTTTTTTTTTTTAAGATTTTATTTATTTATTTATTTGACAGAGAGAGAATGAGAGAGAGAGCACATGAGAGGGGGGAGGGTCAGAGGGAGAAGCAGACTCCCTGCCGAGCAGGGAGCCCGATGCGGGACTCGATCCAGGGACTCTAGGATCATGACCTGAGCTGAAGGTAGTTGCTTAACCAACTGAGCCACCCAGGCGCCCCGGGAACTCATGCTACCTATCACCCTTCCTCTGAGTGTGGACTCCTCACCAGACTGTGACTGCATCTATTCACTCTTCAATGCCTTCGTGTTACTGCCAGGCTGCACCTGTGGAAGACTTCCTTTGCCAATAGTGGAATTGGAAGTCTGAGTAAACGTATTTGAAAAACCTCAGGATGCTCGGAGTTTGATGCTTAACGGTGTATAAAGAATACCAGACACTGATGTAGAGCTGGGCTCCCTCAGTCTATAAACATGAACCAGAGACAGATAAACGGCAGGGATTCCGATCAGCTGTCTTAGGTTAAAGTGAGGTAATCATTCTTTGTTGTTGTTACATGTATCAAGTGAGCAGGCTATATTGATCTAGACATGAGCACCAGGTTAGGAAGGATGAGTGCTACCACTTCATTCTCTTAAAAAACTGCAGCTTAAGCTCTTTGCCTTTCACTCGCCTCTGTCCCTCGGTGAGGAGAACAGACGTCACTGCCAACGGGGAGGCCGGTCTAGTCCAGCACCATTTGTCCCCATTCTTTGTGTAAATGTTGATAACTATTTCTGAAATGTGGTTTTTCCCTCACAGCGAAGAGGCCCTGCTGAGGACGGAACTGAAGAGACCTTTTGCAACTCCCATGGTTCTGCTCCTTTGGTGCGAAGCGCATGGCAGCCGTCTACTCCCTCAGGGAGGCAGTCCGCCCTGCACCCCACCGGACGCTGCTGCCTGGTCCCGAGCACTTGCTGCGGCTGCTCATCGAGGCAACCAGGTAGGTCAGGAGGAGACCTCCCTGGCTGAGGGCACTGGCTTGGTTGGTGCCTGCTGCAAAAAGTGTTGACAGCTCTTGGTGGCATACGACCCAGCAGGCCACACTGAGTCACCCCACAGAACGTGGGGGCCGGGGGGCACCAGCACAGCTAGGCTGACGGCCCTGCTATTTGCCGCGAGTACTAAACAGTCTTGCTCTGACCTGCTCTAGCTTGTCATCTACTTTTAGTACCCCCGGAGTGGGATGAGGCTCACCTGTTGCATCCTCCGTGTGGCAGGGGTTCTTTCTTGAAACTTACCTGAGTTTAAGTTTAGATGGGTAGGGAGACCAGGAGAAAGGTTTAGGGTAAAGGTATGACAAGGTTATTGTTGTTGGGCACCCACCATAGGCCAGATGCCTTTACAGACAGGAACTCTATTCCCATGTCTTGGAATAGGGAGCAACAAGGCCGGCTCAGAGGACGGATAAGCACCTTGTGTATCAGTACATAGTGAAGTCAGGAGGACCGCAGTCCTGTGTCCTTCAGAGTGCATTTGCTCAACATACTGGCAAAGCTGCTTGCGTGAGCTGGCAGTGCTGTGGATGAGAGTGGGATGAAGCAGGACAAGGTAGGTGTAGGTGCCAAGCTGTCTTGATGGCCAGCCAGGTGCAAGGTCAGTTTCATGCCACCCTGACAAATGGTGGCTTTAGAAAAGATGGTGGAGTAGGAGGCTCCTAAGCTCACCTGGTCCCACGGACACACCTAGATAACAGCCACATCAGTACAACTATGAAAATGACCTAAAGACTGGCACAACACACTTTCCACAGTTAATGATAGAGAGGGGGATACATGGAAAAGAGCAGGAGAGGCAGAGATGCAGTAGGGATGGTGAGACTAGCAACAAATGAGGGGGATACCACAAGCGCAGAGAAGGGAGAGGACCCTCCATCAGGCACTCTGGCCATGGGGGACCTGCACTGAGAAGCTTTGGAACCCAGTGGGGCTTAGCTCTGGGAGAGCTGGATGGCAATAGGAAACTGAGTCCCACCCTTCAAACAAACAGCCCTGCTGAGATACAGCATTGAAGCAGCAGTTTGGAAAACGCCTGGGCTATAAGGGAAGACTTAGTCACTAATCATGTGTTGGAGAGGCAGTGACCTTCGCGAGACTTTGGCAAGAGTAAAAGAGCTGGGGGACACCGGGGGGGCACCATTCCTCTGCCTGAGCCTAGACCCCCGACACTTGCAGGAACCAGTGCCAACACCCTCCACCTACCTTGCTAATACCACACCCTGCTGTGCGTTCTCCTGGGCATTCACACCATCCAACCTGCCCTACTTTAAGCAGCCTTGGCGGGGATCGGCTCCACTCCAAAGTGACTCCTGCCCCGGGCAGAGGGGAAGATTAATTCTACTGGAGCCCCGGCAGCGGGCTTGGAGCAGACATCTGATCTCGGAGACAAGGCAGGGACAGTGCCCTGCAGGTTGGTCCAACCATAGCCCTGGCAAACGGGCTGAAGGCAGGGATCTGGTCTCATCCAACTACAAGACCAAGGCAGCCCCAGTCTGGCCCCTTAACCAGCACCGAGAGCAAACCCTGCCACAACAGGCAAAGTGGGTCACTGTAGCCAACTGGACTGAAGGCAGACACGGCTCAGCCAGAACAGTAGGGTGCATGCAACACACATCAGAGACACCCCTGAAGCAGCTACTTCTGGTGAGCAGAACACATGGTACTACAGGGCACTACAGGACCTCTTCTTCATGAGGTCACTGCTTTCAAGAGCAGATGTAGCTGACTTTCCTAGTACGTAGAAACAGACAGATTTAGACAAAATGAGACAGAGGAATGTATCCCCAAATATAAAAAAGAACCAGAGACGAAGAACTCAATAAATGAAATTAAAAATCTACAAGAGGGAATCAATCATAGATGAGAGGAAGCAGAAGGATAAGTCAGCTGGAAGACAGAGTAATGGAAAGCAACCACGCTGAACAACAATGAAATAAGAAAAGGAAATGAACAGGTTAAGGGAACTCAGCAACACCATTAAGTGTAACAATATTCACATTATCAGGATCCCAGAAGGAGAGGAGAGAGAAAAGGGAGCATAAAATTTATCATCTAAAGAAGTAATAGCTAAAAACTTCCTTAATCTGGGGAAGAAAACATACAGATCTAGGAGGCACAGTGAGCCCCCAAGAAGGTCCACACTAAGACACAAATAATTAAAATGGCAAAAGGCAGTGATAGTTTTGAAAGCACCAAGAGAAAACTGCCATATGCAAAGGAAACTCCATATGGCTATCAGCTCATTTTTCAGCATAAACCTTGCCAGAAGGGAGTGGTAGGATATATTCAGAGGGCTAAATGGAAAAAACCTCCATGAATACTCTACCCAGCTAGGATATCCTTCAGAATTGAAGGAGAAAAAAAGAGTTTCCCAAACAAAACGTAAAGGACTTCATCAATCAGATTTACAAGAAACATTAAAGGGAATTCTTTGGAAAGAAAGGGCCATCATTAGGAGGAAGAAAATTGGGAAAGGAAAAAATTTCACAGGTAAATATAAACATAATAAAAGTAGTAGATTAATCATATAACACCCAGTATGAAGGTTAAAGCGCAAAAGCAGTAAAATCAATTATACCTATAAAATCAGTCAAGGGATTCACAAAATAAAAGGATGTAAAGTATGACATCATATACATAAAATGTGCAGGGGGGAGGAGTAAAAATTTAGTGTTTTAAGAATGGGGGCAAACTTAAACGACCATCAACTTAATATATATTTGCTATATGCATAGGATGTTATCTGTCAACCTAATGGTAATCACAAATCAAAAACCAGTAATAGATATGCAAAAAAGAAAGAGAAAGGAATCCAAGGATATCACTCGGGCAAGACAGGAAAGGAACAGAGAAAAAATACAAAACCAACCATAAAACAAGTAACAAAATGGCAATAAGTACATACCCATCAATCATTAGTTTGAATGTAAATGGACTAAATGTTCCAATCAAAAGACACAGGGTGACTGAATGGATTAAAAAAAGCAACATCCATCTATATGCTGCCTACTGGAGACTCACTTCAAACCTAAAGACACATGCAGAATGCAACTGAAGGGATGAAAAAACATTTATCATGCCAATGGAAGTGAACAGAAAGCTGCCATAGCAATACTTACTCTGTCAGACAACACAGACTTCAAGACAAAGGACACTACATAATGATAAAGGGAACAATCGAATAAGAGGATATAGCAATTGTACAAACACATAAAGCAACTATTAACAGACACAAAGGAAGAAATTGACAGTAGTACATAATAGTAGGGGACTTTAACACCCCACTTACATCAATGGATAGATCATCCAGACAAAAAACAAGGAAATAGTGGCTTTGAATGATACCCAGATGAACCTAAAGTATATTCAAACCATTTCATTCAAAAACAACAGAACACACATTCTTTTCAAGTACAAGTGGAACATTCTCCAGAACAGATCACATGTTAGACAAAACAAGTCTCGATAAATTAAAAGAGACTGAAATCCCATCATGCATCTTTTTCAACCACAACGGTATGAAACTAAAAATTAATCACAAGAAAAAATCTGGAAAGAACACCTATGTGTGGAGGCTAAATAACATGCTACTAAACAATAAATGGGTCAACCAACAAATCAACAGGGGAAGATTATAGCAATACAGGCCTACCTCAAGAGGCAGGAAAAGTCTCAAACAACAGTCTTACACCTGAAAGAGAAAAAGAACAAACAAAGCCCAAAGCCAGTAGAAAGAAGGAAATAATAAAGATTAGAGCAGAAATAAACTAAACAGACTAAAAATAACCACAATGGAATAGATCAGTGAAACCAGGAGCTGTTTCTATGAAAACACCAACAAAATTGATAAACCTTTAGCTAAACCCATCAAAAAAGGAGTCAAAAAAATAAAGTCAGAAATGGAGAAGTAACACCACAGAAATACAAAAGATTGCAAGAGAATGAAAAATTACATGCTAACAAATTGGACAACCTAGAAGAAATGGATGAATTCCTAGAAACGTATTACTTTCCCAAAGTGAATGAGAAAGAAATAGAAAATTTGAACAGACTGATTACTAGCAAAGAAATCAAATCAAGTAATAAAAAAACTCCCAACAAACAAAAGTCCAGGACCAGATGGCTTCACAGGTGAATTCTACCAAACATTTAAAGATGAGTTAATACCTATTCTTTTCAAACTAATCCAAAATAGAAGAGGAAGGAAAGCTTCTAAATTTATTCTACAAGTCCAGCATTACCCTGATACCAAAACCAAATAAAGACATTACAAGAAAAAGAAGACTATAGGCCAGTGTCTGATGAACATAGATGCAAGAATCCTCAACAAAATATTAGCAAACCTAATTCAACAATAATGAAAAAGATCATTCACCAGGAACAAGTGGTTTTTATTCCTGGGATGAAAGGGTGATTCAATACTTGCAAATCAATCAATGTGATACATCACATCAATAAGAGAAAGGATAAGAACTATATGATCATCTCAATTGATGCAGAAAAATTTGATAAGGTACAACAGCCATTTATGATAAAAACTCAACAAAGGTTTAGAGGGAACATAGGTCAACATCATAAAGGCCATATATGAAAAACACCATATTCAATGGTGAGAAACAGCTTTTCCTCTAAGATCAGGAACAAGTCAAGGATGTCCACTCTCACCACTTTTATTCAACATAGCACTGTAAGTCCTAGACACAGTAATCAGACAACAAAAAGAAAGAAAAGGCATCCAAACTGGAAAAGAAGAAGTACAACTCCTATTTGCAGATGACACGATACTATATGTAAACAACAGTAAGGACTCCACCAAAAAACTACTAGAACTGATAACGAATTCAGTCAAGTCACAGGATACAAAGTTATATATAGAAATCTGTTGCATTTCTATACATTAATAATGAAGTAGCAAGAAGAGACATTAAGAAAATAATCCCATTTTTACAACTGTGCCAAAAAGAGTTAAATACCTAGGGATAAACTTAACCAAGGAGGTGAAAGACCTACAGTCTGAAAACTATGAAACACTGGTGAAAGAAATTGAAGATGACATAAACAAGTGGAAAGATATTCCATGTTTATGGACTGGAAGAACCAGTATTGTGAAAATGTTCACACTACACAAAGCGATCTACAGAGTTTAGTGCAATCTCTATCAAAATGCCAAATTTCCATAGAACCAGAGCAAACAATCCTAAAATTTGCATGGAACCACCAAAGAACCCGAAGAGCCAAAGCAATCTTGAGAAAGAAGAATGAAGTTGGAGGCATCACAATCCTAGTTTTCAAGATAAAAATCTGTCGTAATCATAACAGTATTACACTGGCAGAAATAGAGACACACAGATCAATGAAACAAAATAGAGTCCAGAAATAAACCCATTCTTCTATGGCCAATTAATCTATGACAAAGGAAGCAAGAATATACAATGGAGTAAACACAGTCACTTAAACAGTGTTGGAGAAACTGGAGGCCTTTTTTACACCATGCACAAAAATAAACTCAAAATGATTAAGGACCTAAATGTGAGACCTGAAACCATGAAAGTCCTAGAAGAAAACATAGGCAATAATTTCTTGAATATCAGTCATAGAAACATTTTTTGAATATATGTCTCCTCTGGCAAGGGAAACAAAAGCAAAATTAAACTCTTGGGGCTACACCCAAGATAAAAAGCTTCTGCAGAGCAAAGGAAACCATCAACAAAGCAAAGAGGCAACCTACTGAATGGGAGAAGATATTTGCAAATGATATATCTGATATATGTACATATTTGCAGAATATATAAAGAAGTTACACAACTCAATATCAAAAAAAAACCCAATTTCTCCAAAGAAGACACATAGATGGTCAATAGACACATGAAAAGATGTTCAACATCACTTGTCATCTGGGAAATGCAAATCAAAACCCCAAGGAGCTATCACTCACACCTGTCAGAATAGCTAAAATCAAAAACACAAGAAATAACAAGTGTTGATGAGGATGTGGAGAAAAACAAACCCTGGTGCACTGTGGGTGAGAATGCAAACTGTGCAGCCACTGCAGAAATCAGTATGGGGGTTCCTCAAAAAATTAAAAATAGAATTACTTTATGATCCAGAAATCTCAGTACTGGGTATTTATGCAAAGAAAACAAAAACACCAATTTGAAAAGAGATATGCACCCCTATGTTTACTGCAGTGTTATTTACAATAGCCAGACGATGGAAGCAACCCAAGTGTCCATCCATAGATGAATGGATAAAGAAGTTGTGGTATATATATACACAATGGAATACTACTCAGCCTTAAAAACGAATAAGCTCTTGCCATTTGCTACAACATGGATAGACATACAGGGTATAATGCTAAGTGAAGTAAGTCAGTCAGAGAAAGACAAATACCAAACGATTTCACTCATATGTGGAATTTAAGAAACAAAACGAACAAAAAAGAGACGATCAAAATACCATACTCTTAAATACAGAGAACTGGTGGTTGCCAGAGGGGAGGTCGGTCCGGGGATGGGTGAAATAAAGGGGATGAGCACTGAGAAATGTATAGAATTATTGAATCACTATATTGTACACCTGAAACTAATCTAACACTGTATGTTAATTATACTTGAATAAAAAGAGAAGAATAGAGAGACCTGTATAAAATACATGCCCTGGCCATCATCACATCTATCCTTAACGTGACCCATTCCCCAAGGAGAAGTTAAAAGAAAAACCTCGAGTCTGAGTAAGTAGGAAGTGCAGGTTACAGCTGCCAGCTGCCAGAACTGTCTGGGAGTCTTCACAGTGCCTGGTATTTGGGTTTAAAGTAGCATTTACAGGAGAAGCATGGGAAATGGCAGAGTGGGAGGATCCTGAGCTCACTTCCCATGGACACATCAAGTATGTAACTAAATATAGTGAGACTCACTCTGAAAATGACCTGAAGACTAACAGAACATCTCTCTCCCACAGCTAAAGATATAAAGAAGGCCACACAGAGAAGGGAAGGAGGGGCAGGGATGTGGTCAGGAACCACCCCTGGCACGGTGATCAATATCACCCACGAGCGTGGAAGTCCTCCACGAGGAGCGAGGGGGATCAAGCCCCACAGTGGGCACCCCCCCACCCCGGGGATCTGCAATGGGCAGATGAGCCCCCAAAACCTCTGGCTTTGAAAATCAGTGGGGCCGGAGCCGGAAGGCTCTAGGGAGCGGAGATTCTGCTCTTAAAGGGCCAGTGCATTTTACCACTTGCTCTGAGACCCAGCACAGAAGCGGCAGTTTGGAAAGTGTCCGGGTTATATGTGTAGGAGACTTACTTTTTAGGGCATGTGCTGGGAGAGCAGGGATCTGTGGGAAATCTTTGTATGAGTGTAAATACTGGTGGGGAACCAGCTCTGACACTGTCCGTCTATCCTTATCTTGCTAGCACTGCTTGCCCTGCCCACCAGCACACCCACAGACGTCTTGGCCCAGAACAGAAGCGGAGTGCACACAGTCCACACAGAGGACACCCCTGGAGGGCCTGGTTCTGGTGAGCAGGGGGGACTGCATTCCTGGGCCTCACAGGACACCCTCTATACAAGGCCACTACTTTTAAGACCAGGAGATGTAGGTGGCCTACCTAATACACAGAAAGAAACCCAGAGTCAGGCAAAATGAGGAGACAGAGGAATATGTTCCAAATGAAAGAACAACACAAAATCTCAGAAAAAGGACTACATGAAACAGGGATAAGCAATCTTCCTGATAAAGAATTCAAAGTCACGGTCATAAAGATGCTCACTGGATCTGAGAGAAGAGTGGGTGAACTCAGAACTTAAACAAATAAACAGAAAATATAAAAAAGAACCAAAGCTGAAGAATAAAATAAAATGAACTGAAAAATATACAAGAGAGAATCAACAGCAGATTAAAGGATGCAGGAGAACAGATGAGTGATCTGAAAGTCAGGGTAGTGGAAATCATCCAAACAGAACCGCCAAAAGAAAAAAATGAGGTTAGGTTAGGAGACCTCTGGGACAACAAGTGTACTGACATTTGCATCATAAGTGTCCCTGAAGGAGAAGAGAGAGAGAAAGACCCAGAAAACTTATGTGAAGAAATAATAGCTGAAAACTTCCCTAACCTGCCTAACCTGCAGAGGGAAACAGACAGCCAGGTCCAGGAAGCACAGATAGCTTCAAACAAGATGAACCCAAGGATGCCCATATAATAACCAAAATGTCAAAAAATAGAGACTCTAAAAAGCAGCAAGAGAAAGGCAACGAGTTATGTACCAGGAAAGCTGAAGCTTAGTTTTCAGCAGGAACTTTGCCAGAAGGGAGAGGCACACTATATTCAAAGTGGTGAAAGGAAAAAACCTACAACCAAGAATACTCTACTCAGCAAGGCTATTATTCGGAATTGAGGGAAATATAAAGAGTTGCTCAGGCCAATAGAAGTCAAAGGAGTGCATCACCACTAAAGTGGCCTTACAAGAAATGTTAAAGGAATTTCTTTAAGCAGAAAAGGCTATAACTAGAAGAAAATTATGAAAGGAAAAAGTTTCACTGGTAAAAGCAAATGTATAGTTAAGGTAAATCAATCACTTACAAAACTAGTATGAAGACTGAAAGACAAAAGTAGTAAAATTAGTTGTATTTACAATAATTAGTTAAGGAATTCACAAAATAAAAAAGATGTAAAATATGACATCATATACATAAAAAGGGGAGTAAAAATGTAGTACTTCTAGAATGTGTTTGACTTAAGCAACTATCAACTTAAAATAGCGTACTATAGACATAGGATATTATGTATGAACCTCATGGTAACCACAAAGCAAAAGCCTATAATATACAAAAAATAAAGAGAAAGGAATCCAAGTATAACATCAAGGAAAGTCATCTAATCACAAAGAAAGAAAGCAAAAGAAGAACTATGAAAAGAAATACAAAAACAACCAGAAACAATTTTAAAAAATGGCAGTAATTACCTATCACTTTAAATATAAACAGACTAACTGCTCCAATCAAAAGACATAGGGTTCCCAAATGGATGAAAAAAGTTAAGACTTATCTAATATGCTGCCTATAATAGATTCACGTCAGACCTAAAGACACGTACAGACTTAAAGTGAAGGGATGGAAAAATATATTCCATATAAATGGAAGCAAAAAAAAAAAAAAAAAAACCAAAATGCTGATGTAGGAATATTTATGACAGACACAGGGTTACTCAGTGATGGACATCAGGAGGGCACTTGATGGAATGAGCACTGGGTGTTACATGCAACTGATGAATCACTAAATTCTACTGAAACTAATAATATGCTATATGTTAACTAAACTGAATGTTAACTAAACTGAGTTTAACTGAAATACGCTACATGTTAACTAAAATGAATGTTAACTAAACTGAATTTAAAAATAAAACAAAACAAAACAAAAAAACCAGACTTTAAACCAAAGGCTGTAGCAAGAGGCAGAGAGGGGCACTGCATAATGATAAAGGGATCAATCCAGAAAGAGGCTATAACAACTACAGATATCTATGCATCTAACACAGGAGCCTCTATCTACCTGTCTATCCATATAAAGCAATAATTAACAGACTAACGAGAGACATTGACAGTAATGCAGTAATAGTAGGGGGCTTTAACACCCCACTTACATCAACTAACAGATCATCCGGGCAGAAAATCAATAAAGAAACAGTGGCTCTGAATGACGCATCAGACCAGACAGACTTAACAGATATATATGGAACAGTCCATCCCCAAACAGAATACACATTTTTCCAGAGAAGACATCCAGATGGCCAACAGACCTAGAAAAGATGCTCAACATCACTCATCATCAGGGAACTACAAATCAAAACCACTAGAGACCACTTTGCACCAGTCAGCATGGCCTGTATCAAATCAAAAAGACAAGAGATAACAAGTGTTGGTGAGGATGTGGAGAAAGGGAGCCCTGGGGCACTGTTGGTAGGAATGCAAACTGGTGCAGTCACTGTGGACAACAGTATGGAGGGTCCTCAGAAAATTAAAAATAGAGCTACCATGTGTATTTGAAGAAAGCAAAAACATTAATTCAAAAAGATAAATGCACCCTTATGTTTATTGCAGCATTACTTACACGAGCCAAGATATGGTAGCAGCCCAAGTGTCCGCTGATGATGTAGGGATAAAGATGTGCTACACCACTCACACACAGGAAAATTACTCAGCCATAAAAAAGAATATTTTTCCCATTTGTGACAGTAGGGATGAACTAAGAGGGAATTATGCTAAGTGAAGTAAGTCAGAGAAAGACAAATACCAAATGATTTCACTTATATGTGGAATCTAAAAAACAACAAATGAACAAACAGAACAGAAACCGACTCAAAAATACAAAGACCCTGGTGGTTGCCGGAGGGGAGGAGGGGTGGGGGGAAGGGTGAAATAAGTGAGGGGGATGAAGAGGTACAAACATCCGGGTACAAAATAAATCACAGATGCAACGCACAGCATGGGGGATACAATCAGTGATCTTGGAGTAATTGTGCGGTGACAGATGGGAACTACACTTATGCTGGTGAGCATTCCATAATGTCTATAAATGTCCAGTCACTGTGTCGTATGCCTGAAACGAATATAATATTGTACGTCGACCCTACTTCAATTTAAAAAAATAGCATTTAAAATGCCAAGGAGGCTCCTGACTCTGAAATTTGTGTTTCTTTCGCGGCAAGTACATCTTCGACAAGGGATTCTGTGTGAGGATGACACCCCAGATGTAAGCCCGTGGACATGGCCACTGGCCTCACTTACCTCTGGAAGGGAGGACTGGGCGCTGCGCGTCTGCTTGATGGCCTCCTCGTAGCGGGGAGGGTCTTTCGTCTTGGGGACCGGGCTCCCAAACAGGGAGTGCTGGACGACACACTGCTGGGGTGGCGGGGGCGAGCCAGGCTGAGGCAAACACAGGGAGACACATGTCAGCTCCGGGCAGCGAGTTTCCTCAAGCCCCGGCCAGGCAGGGCTCTGCCCTCAGCACGGGGCAGCCCCATCATGGCATTCCTCACCTCGCGAGCCTCAGGACCTAGAAGCCATGCGGCTGACGGGGCCACCTCGTGTAGAAGGGCCACCTTTACTGTGGTAAGAGCGAGGCTGCCCCCTAACAACTGTCACCACGGTATTTTGGCTGTTTTGTCCCATGCGTACTGATACTCAGTCCCTCCAAGGCGGAAGCGCTGGGTTTTGGAATGCTCTCGTACCCCAGGAAGCACCCCTGTTGCTGGTGCTCCGTGCTCACAGCATTACCTTACTGGAAGTGGTAGGTCCGTTCTGCAGGGAGGCACGTGGGGCACTTCTGGACTGCAGAACGCTGGTGGGCGTCTTACTGACAAAGGGCTGCTGGACTGCTGGAGCGGGTGCTCTCGGGTAGGGGAGAACGGTGTTCGATGCCGAGGTTGTGAAGACCTGTAACGAACCAGTGTTTTCCACTCAGTGTGTTCTTTTGCTCTTCCTACCAAAGAAAACCATGTCTTCGGACAAGGGGTGGCAAACGTTTGCTGGCAAGAGCCCTTAAGTACTCAGCTGAGGGCTTGCAGGCCCCGGCTCTCCAAGGTAGCTGATCCCCTGTGCGGCTGCAGCCCAGAGGTGGCCTCGACAACCCGGAAATAAATGGGTGGCACTGGGTTCCAGTCAAACTTTACCCACAGAGACGGGCCTGGAGGCCACAGTTTGCTGACCCTGATCTTCCGGCGTCAATCATCCCTTACTCAGTGGCCAGTCTTCGATGGCAGCGGGGACCGCACCTTCCGGGAAATCAGCATTTGCTCAAGAGTAATTTTTCTCTTAAGCGATAGCTGAATTTCTCCTGTTCCTCACCAGGGTGATCTCATCTACTCTCATGGCTTTAATGTTCACGATTAAGCTAATAACCCCCCAACCAACCCCTCTTTTCCAGCCTTGCTCCCAAGTGCCACAGCCACATTTTTTATAACCCTTATAAACATAACTTTGGGACATCTTAAATTTAATATATTCCAAACTAAACTTTCCCCTTTCCTCCCACCACCTCCAGCCTCTGAGGAAAAATAATTCTTGGTTCTACCGTGATTTATTTTTAAAACTTTGGTAAATGGAGCCATCAGTCTCCTCTGCTTTCTCCCCTCAGAGCTCACACAGCTTCGGAATGCCTCCTGAATCAGGCCTCTGTTCTCTGCTGTCCTAATCCAGGCCCTTGCTATTGATCCCTGGAAAACTGGCACAGTCTCCCTGCTGAGCCTCCCTCCCGTCAGCCCTCCACAACAGTTCCGGCCTTCACACCCACACCTGATGGAGCCCCCACACTCCTGGCTCCTCTGTCCTTCGTGGTAAAACCCTCCTGTCTGGCTGGCACACGAACCTTCTACCACCTGGCCCCTTTTTAGCTGACCACAACGGCCACACGTGCTGGGGCCACACTCAATTTTCCAGTTTCTTTCTTTTTTTTTTTTTTTAAAGATTTTATTTATTTGACAGAGAGAGACACAGCGAAGAGAGGGAACACAAGCAGGGGGAGTGGGAGAGGGAGAAGCAGGCTCCCCGCAGAGCAGGGAGCCCGATGCGGGACTCGATCCCAGGACCCTGGGATCATGACCTGAGCTGAAGGCAGTCGCTTAACCAACTGAGCCACCCAGGCGCCCTCAATTTTCCAGTTTCTTGAACATTTCTCCAGATCCTTGTGAGGCCCCATTTAAAATCTGCCCCCTTCTGAGAAGCTAACTTCTGCTCTGTCGGTGAGCGGTGAGGATTCTCTCCTGTGGAACGACCGAGTGTGTGTTTGGCCCCCATTAGGAGCCAAAGGTTTTATGGACTTTTGCAAATGTATGGCCATAGTGTGCTTTTGCAACTGTATTTCACAGAGCTGATTTACTCGTAAAAAGATCTAATATACTTTATACCACATATTTTGAAAGAGAAAAACTTACCCCTATATTTTTGTTGTAAATATACGTATGTATTTCTCAAGCGGGAAAGTATATTTATGTGTGTGTCTATATATCCCTCCAAATGGTACCACTGCTCTGGGTGAGAAGTTCTAGAAGTAAGTGTACTCCCCTTTGAAAAAGTTGAATTTCCTTCTATTTGGTACAAGAATTTCTTCCTTTAAAATGGAATTAATGACCCTTAATTCTAGTTTTTTCAGACTAAGTGAATAAGCCCTTATTTATCTTGTCTATATCCTGTTTTTCTCTCTCCTCCCTAAAACAAACTGTCTTGACGTATGAACATTCACTAAGCTTATCACTATACTAAAATGTTATTCTGAGCCCAAAGTAAGTAATACGCAGCTATAACTCCTTGCTCACTGTGTTTCCCAGAGCAGATTCCAGAAGAGAGCACAAGTTGATGTGACTACCAATGACCCCAGGCATTGTTTTTGTCTGTTGCTCAAGTGGTCTTAGCCTAGACAGTACACACCACGTTGGGCCATGTCTACAGGTACACCTCATTATCCAAGTTCTTTTATGCTGAAGATTAAAATTCTGGGACTAATAATTCTCAAGGTTTAAAATAGTAAGACCTGGGGCAACTGGGTGGTTCAGTTGATTAAGTGTCCCGACTCTAGATTTCGGCTTAGGTCATGATCTCAGGGTTGTGAGATTGAGCCCCGTGTCGGGCTCCACGCTGGACATGGAGCCTGCTTAAGATTCTCTCTCTCCCTCTTCCTCTGCCCCTGCACCCTCTAAAAAATAAATTAAAAAAATAAAAGAGTGAGACCTATTTTTGAGGCCTTTAAAAGTTTTCTCACAAGGAGAGATGTGCACATAGCTCCACCTACTGGATAAGAGGGAATTTTGGTAACTTTTGGGGCTTTCACATCAGAACTTTTTGGTGGGAACACATGCATAAGTTATTGAGCCCTAGACCAACACCGTCATTTTAAAGACGAGGAAAATAACACTCAGAGAAAGTAAGTGAATATTGCATAAGGCCAACCATGTAGGAAGTGGGGAACCAGAATAACCAGGCCTGGGTCTTCTGGCTCTTAATCTGCAAGATGGCAAACTCTTAAATATATAAAGATCTTATTCAAGGCAAACCTTTCAGAAAGTATCTTTTTCATCTTCAAATATTTCTTCCCAGGAAACAGCACTGCCAACCCCCCCCCAATAATTAATTTGAAATTTAAGTCCCAGAAAATCCTACACATGAGGATTAAAAACATACTTTTGAAACTTTACTTGGAAAAGGGTTAATTAACTGTTAAGATGAGCTATCTTTCAGTAATACAGAACTCTCTTCCCCAAATAACTGGGTAATCTGCAGCCAGAGGCCACGCGACCTGAGGCCCATCTGATGGGAGGCACATCACACAGAAGAACAAATAGGTGCTTCCCACGAGGAGACTGCTTTGTGGATATTGCAGGATTGCTGAGCAGATGACAGCACACATCAGCGACAGCCTGCCACCCGTTAGCCTTCACCCACCTTTCTAACTTGCTGAGGCTGACTGAGTACATGCGGCGTGAAAGTGTCTTGCTTCTGAGGTACAGTCTGGGCTAAGCCTGAGGACAGGGTGGCAGTTGCTGTCTGAGGCTGAGTCTGGATTCCTGCTTGTGCTGGAGTCTAGGAAGCAAATAAAAAATCAATTTAAATGTCAAAATCAATCTCAGAATCAAGAGTTTAGATGTGGGGGCACCTGGTTGGCTCAGTCGGAAGAGCGTGCGACTAGATCTCAGGGTCATGAGTTTGAGCCCCACGTTGCGTGTAGAGATTACTAAATATATATATATAAATTAAAAAAAGAGCTTAGATGTGGAATAACGGGTCATGTGGGGATCATATCTGAAATGAAATAAATTATTTACAGATACACACTTCATTTCATCAACACATAGATTTGAGCCTTAATTCTAAACCAGAGAGTGAAACACCAGACCAGTTGTTTTCATGCTCTGATTGTTTCTTAAGTGGCTAAGATTTTCATTTGAAAACTTTGAGAAAAGGGAAAACTGCAATAAAAGCCTACAGGAGCTCTACACATACTAGGTCAGGTGTTGTAATGACTGTAATAATTGGAAATCTCTGAGGCCCGACTGCCCAAACTCCTGCTTCTAAGCTGCAGGATGTGCTCCCTCTGGGGGCAGTCAGCCACACGCTGGGGCACACAGAAGTCCAGAATAAAACACAGTTCTTGTTCTGAGAACATCAACTCTCCTGGAAGAATTGGTTGGAAAAAAAGTGTTCAGAAGAGCTATATTACAGAGTGAGTAGACCTTCAATTTCATAGACACTGTAAAGGTTAAACAGGGGAATTAGAATTTTTGCACATGCCAAGGGCCTCGGGTCATGCTTCCTAACCCCAGGGGTATGGGACCACTCCTTTCTGCCATTAAGAGCGTCTGGGGCGTCAAAG